CCAGCTACTAAGAATAAAATATCTGTCCAACCAGTGTGGCTCTGTGGTTGAACATCGACCTATGAACCAGAAGGTCACGGTTCAATTTCCTGTCAGGACACATGCCTGGTTGTGGGCTTGATCCCCAGTAGGGGGCATGCAGGAGGAAGCCAATTAATGATTCTCTCTCTTTACTGATGTTTCTATCTCTCTCTCTCCCTCTCCCTTACTCTCTAAAATCAATAAAGATATATTTTTAAAAAGAATAAAATGTCTATCTAATTAATGACAACCCTCCCTTTGTGCAGTAAATCCCATCCCTTATCATTTGTTCCAGTAATTCTCACTGCAAAATTTTTAATCAGTTTCATAACACAGTATCTTACTCCGATTTTTCTGTCTTGAAAACAAAAAAGCAAAGTCAAATACTTTCAAGTTCATGTTCTCCAGCTAATGCCCCATTAATGCCCCATTCATTACTTGCCTTCCCAGCAACTGTCCTCTAAAAGGTAGGAGGTCAATGACTCCAATTACTCTTTTTTAATTTTTTTTATTGATTTCAGAGAGGAAGAGAGAGATAGAAACATCAATGATGAGAGAGAATCATTGATTGGCTGCCTCCTGCATGCCCCTACTGGGGGTTGAGTCTGCAACCCGGGCATGTGCCCTTGACCGGAATCGAACCCAGGACCCTTCAGTCCAGAGGCCAATACTCTATCCATTGAGCCAAACTGGCAAGGACTCTCCAATTACTCTTGAATCCCATCCAATGGCATTTGCCTCCTTTACTCCACATTACTCACCCAATTTTCAAGTCTCTGTTGTTAACTTTATTGATTTAATGAAAGTGTTTGATGCAGTTAACCACTCTTCTACTTGAAACATTTCATTCATTTGGCTTCTTGGACATCACATTCTTCTGTTTTCTTCTCTTTCCTCCTTGGCTGTTCTCTTTATGCTTTTTTTAAAAATAGTTTTTTATGAATTTCCCTGATCCTAAATTTGGAGTGCTCTATAGCTCAGTCCTTGCTTCTATTCATTTTCTATATCTGCTGCAATGGCAACCACATCCAGTAATATGACTTTAAATATTATCTCTAATATGACATGGGGAAATAAAACTATATCCTTTGCCTGGATCTCTGTTCTAAACTTAATACTCATACATATAAATGCCTTGGTATATCTCCACTTGGATATCCACTAAACATCTCTCCTTTATCCTACATAAGACTGAAATCGTGATACTCCTCCCCAAACCCACACCTCATACAATATTTTCCATCTCAGATCAATGTCAACTCCATCATTTCAGAAGCTCAAGTCAAAACACTTGGAGGCAACTTTTATTCATTTCTTAAAATTTTTTAAAATTGATTTCAGAGAAGAAGGGAGAAGGAGAGATAGAAACATCAATAATGAGAGAGAATCATTAATTGACTGCGCATGCCCCCTACTGGGGATGGAACCTGCAACCCATGCATGACAGGGAATTGAACCGTGACCTCCTGGTTCATAGTTCAATGCTCAACCACTGAGCCATACCAGTGGGGCTCATTCTTCTCTTTCATAATCCACATTCAAACTTTCAGCAAATCTTACAGGTTTAATCTTCATAGTACATCTAGAATCCAACTACTTCTTGCTATCTCGAAATCATTTGGTCTGGCCCTGCCAAGGCATCAGGGGTGACTTAATTAGATGTTTGGCCAAATATAACAGGCTAATTTTTAAGTTGATAATTTTGTATGGCCCTAGAATGATGTTATAAATATCTAAATGGTCCTTGGCAGAAAAAAAAAGATTCACCCCTGAGTCTTGGCCATTTGTGTTGGTTTGTACAAGTTATTTTAACTTCTGGTATCTCATTTTTCTTATCTGTAAATAAGATTAGATGAACAGCCAGAATGTAGAGAGTGTTCAGCAAGCCCATTATTATCATCATGGATCTCATAAAATAGCAATTATTATTAAAATCCAATGATGAATAAGATAAGATGAATTACAGCACTAAAGAATTCCTGCTCTATTTTATTTCCATTGAAATTGACCCCTTTATTAGCACTTTCTTGGTAAGTTTGCTTTCTATATCCATGTAACTGGACTGCTGTCCAGAAAAGATTTTCTCCATCTACTTTTCCTAGAACCATAAAAAACTTGTCAACATTTTCAAAATAAAGTTAAAAAATGTGCATATAATTATTCCCTGATTTGCTAGTTTAATAATCCTATCAGAAAACAAAAAATGTTAGTAACATATGAATTCTCTTAGAGAATGCCTATTAGCTCCTTCTAGCACATTTTTCCTTTTTAATATGACAAATTGTAACATGTTAATCGTATATAATAAAAGGGTAATATGCAAATAGACCAAATGGCAGAACAACCGAACAACCAATCAAAGAGTAATATGCTAATGATATGCTCAGGCTGCTCAACTGCTCGCTATGGTGTTCGCTGACCACCAGGGGGCAGACAGTTAACTGGTCAACTAGTTGCTGATGGGCACTGACCACCAGGGGGTAGATATTCTGACTGGTAGGTTAGCTTGCTGCTGGGGTCTGGCTGATTGGGACTGAGTGAGATGGGCTGGACATGCCCTGGAGCCCTCTCGTGGGGTCCCTCAGCCTGGCCTGCACACTCTTGCAGTCCGGGACCCCTTAGGGCAGCCGTGGGCAAACTACGGCCTGCGGGCCGGATCCGGCCTGTTTGAAATGAATAAAACTAAAAAAAAAAAAGACTGTACCCTTTTATGTAATGATGTTTACTTTGAATTTATATTAGTTCACACAAACACTCCATCCATGCTTTTGTTCTGGCCCTCCGGTCCAGTTTAAGAACCCATTGTGGCCCTCGAGTCAAAAAGTTTGCCCACCCCTGCCTTAGGGGGATGTTGGAGAGCTGGTTTCAGCCTGATCCCACAGGCCACTCCCCTTGGGAGGGCGCCAGATGCAGGGCTCATGGCTGGTGAGCACTGCTGTGGCAGCATGAGCCTCTCCTTATCAGGACTGATTGGGCACGAGCCCACTGCAGGCATAGCAGGGCCAGGATGAGTGAGAGTGGCAGGTAGGAGCTGTAGGCGGCTTTGGACTGCGGGTTTTGGCCCGATCCCTGCAGGCCACCCAGAGGGACCCCAACTGTGCAGGACTTTGTGCACTGGGCCTCTAGTATTCTTTATAATTCACAATGTACATTCAAATGCCACTTTTATCTATTTAAAGTGTATTCTAGTATTTTTCCTCTTGTCTCTTATAGAGTATCCATATCCTGTGTTGTCTGATGATTTCAAGTTTTGGAGCTATTTTGTTTTTTTCTCCCTACTCTTCCCACCTCAAGCCAGCAGTTTCCACCATGTTGATGTCCGGGTACTCATTTGTAGGAGCTCTGTGCGTGAGTAGAATGGGGTATCCAAGCGGGAATATGCTTTATAAATGCTAACAGCATGCTAAGTAATGGAATAACTCAGTTCTTAGAAGTGGAGAGAGAAGAGAAAAAGGCTCAGACCTCCAATTTTCCTTCTGCTATCATCTCACATCATGTCTCTGCAATTTAGGAAGAACAGAGAGAGGCTTAATCAGTGGTCTTATGTGAGAATCTCAGGGAGTGAATGGATGGGACAGAAGATGAGAAGATAATGCAGTAGACATACCAGCATTTCTAACCTGGCTTTACAGTATGCTTCTGGAAAAGTGGAACATTTTTTGCATTCTTCTTTGGGCCTTCACTGAAGCCATTGGATTCCCTCCAGTTTAAGAATAGTCTACCTGTCAGATAGAGTGAAAAGGTCATTTTTATAATAAAATGACCACAAAGTGGTAGATGCCACAGGTTTGCAGAGAATTAAACCAGCAATGGTAAAATTCATGCAAGACAGGGTACTCTTGCTATAAGTTCAACGGCAATCCTGAGCACTTGGAAACCTTGGTTGCTGCCTTCCATCTTAGGACTCATGAAGAAAGGACCTTCTTTTGGACACTAGTCATACCTCCTACACACGCTTCTTTTCTATGTAGTATCCTGTACAGAGGAGGAAAAAAGTACACATTCTGGGCAAATGAATTTTATCAAGGCATCACTCCTGTATGGATACAGTCCTTGTGTGGACACAAATCATGCGGTGATGTAAGAAGGCCCGGCTCCTGTATCAAAAGCATAATTTGCCCTTGACCTTTCTGTTTAACCAGTAGTTATAGCTTCCACATTAGAATTAATTCATTCTGGATCCTCTTTGTGACAACCAAATTTCTAAGCCACAGCTTAACCAACATTTTAGCTTCTCAGAATACCCTTTTCCCACCAACTGGATTCTTAACACCACTGGAATCAAATATTGACTTCTGAGGCTTCATGATGAAAGACTCTTCACATCTGACCCTGTACTTTCCATTTTCCTTGGCTCCCAGTCTAACTCAGGCCACCTACACCAATGGCTTGAAGCCCATGTGCTTCTGCATCTTGAACCACCAAGTGCTTCTGTTGGCTGCTCCCATCTTTCTCTCCCTTCAAGTTATTGGTCATTCTCAATCTCCTTTCTTTCAACCATGTAATTTTTTTAATGTACAATGAGATTTATTATGGAATTACGTTAGAGAGTGAAACATTGCAAACAGTGAAATGTCCAACAATAAGAGATACGCTGAATAAATTATACATCAGCCATATAATTAAATACCTTGCAGCCAATACAAATAAGGCTTTAAAGGAATAATTATTTAGTGAGAAAAGGCTAATAAGATGATTGTTAGTGAAAAACAACACACCCACATAAAACAAAATTGTATTTACAATTAAATCCAAGGAAGAAAATCCATACACATAAACTGTATTTATAATCAGATTCTGTGATTAAAAAATGGGGTTCTAACAATAAATATAAATAATTAAGAACCCCCCCCCCAACCTATTAAAAACAGTTGATTCTAAGTAGGGAGTTTCCTGATGCTTCCATCTCATATCAAGTGCTTTTCAGATACAGCTTCTAGACAAGTCTGGCCTGTTGCAACAACTAGATATCCCTAGACCTCTGCTGTATGGCGATTTCTAGCTCAGACACTAGGCCTGGGTTAGTAGTCAACGTTGTAATTTATAACTCTCCTCCCTCCATGCACACCTCCAGGCTTCCTTAGCTCATATTGATTTTCACTAACATGACTCCAGTTCCTGCACATCTGCTGATTTTTCAGTCAATGGTAAACATCCCAAGGGCAGAAATCAGACCTCTCTATCAATATGGGCCTACACCATTCCTACAGTGTCATCTCCCTGAAAGTTTTACATTACTTATTGATTGAGTGATTGATACATTTCCACAAAACAACTGAACTGATTATTTCTTTCTTTTCTGAGCAGTTTGCCATTACTGGAATCCTTTCCATTATCTCTGGGAAAAAATCAACTAAGCTCCTTGTAAGTATAAAAGGAACTTCAGAGTTAATTCTTCCAGTTCAAAATTTCCATTTGATTAGTTAGGGAAACAAGGCTCAGAGCAAGTGAGGGAGCCCAAGTTCTCCCCACTGGCCCACTGGCTGAACTAGGAGTAAAGCCCAAATTCCTTGCCTTCAGACCAGTATTCTTTCCCCTACATAATGGAGCTCCAAACAGTGAAAATTTTTACATATACTAAGGACTTTTTAAAACGTACCTTGGCCCTGGATATGGTAGATGACCATCCCAGCTAGATCCTAATGATTATTTTTTTCTAGAAAAATCTATCCAATAATGTGTCAATTTCCCTAAATGGCATGGACAGAAACAGAGGTGTGTGGGCTTAGATCTTCTCTGGCTATCTCATTTACTCCTTTGAGAACAAGGAATTATCAGACTGTAGTCACTCTCCTGACAAAGGTCAGGAGTTGGGAGGCAGGGGGTGGAAGTTGAGGTCTTTGATCTTCTCCATAGCAACCTTTCCCTTTCCCCTGACATATGCCCACAAAGATGACTTAGGGAAAGGCCATATCCTGACTCAGGTAGATCCAAGGTCTGGTTAGCCATGGATGAGAGAACATAAGATGTATTATACTGGTATATGCTCCTGATGCTTGAAGCTAGAGTCTGAACCCCAGAATCAGTGGAGAGGGTGTTGAAGAGTTTACAGCATGGATGGAGTCAGAATTCTGGACTTGGAATCAGGAAACCTTTACTCCCATCCCAGCTCGGTCCCCTATCCATCTGTGTGCTTGAAAAAGTTCCTGCCTTCTCTGGACTTCAGTTTTCTTATTTACAAAATGTGAAAGATGAACATGTGTATCTCACAGATGGCTTTCCAAGTGCCCTGAATACACTGAAAGGAAAAACTATGCTTGGGATGACCTGACACAATATGGGCTCCACATGTGGGACACAGGATAATATGAGGGCTTGCTGCCCGCATGGCAGATCCTGGCCAAGGTGCTGCCCATTCACTCTGTTCTTCCTTCAGGGACTCAGAAACTTGAAGCCATATAGCTACTGGGTCAAGGCAGAAGAGGATAGGGCAACCATCCTCCCCAACACACGGTATCCTACAGTGGTGCTTAAACAGAAAAGAGCATGCGCTGGGAATCTGGTACATCAGTGTCTTTGCAGGAGTCACATCCTGTGAGAGCCCATTTCTCCAAAATGTAGACTATAACCCAGGAGTGAGTGTGGTGATGAGGTTCTTATAGGCCTGACCCACCTATAGAATGTATTCCAACTTCTCCAATTTGCTTCTTCCTTTTTCTCTGAAGCTGCTTCTTTATGAAAGAACAAGCCATAGATTGGTCTTCCCAGGAGGGACCAAAGGCCATATTTAAAATGATTCTAAGTCTGTTGAGGAGTAAAGGGAGATATTGGTGATACCACTTCTGTCTTCAGTGCTGCAGAGAGTCAAGGAACCCTTCTCCCAAAGCAGGAATTAATCCATAGATTTTCTAATTCAACAAACATTTACTAATTATATAAGGTGATGAACTAGATAGTGAGCAGGGATACACAGAGATGAATGAGACACAGTATGTGCCCACTAGGACTATGCAGATTAGAGGGAAGCTTAGTTGCAGTGCAGTGGATGGAAGGAATCAGAATCATATGCTATTTCTGTGATGAGACCCCAGTGCAGAATTTCTCTTCCAGGCCATCGGCAGCCTGACCTCTAATGCAGTGAGTTCTGTTGTCGCTGGAGCAGGCCTCTTCCTCCTCGTTTACAGCCTGGTAGCCCTGAGGACTGCCTCTCAACTGTGTGACTCGGAAAATGAGCATCTATCCTCCTTGCCTTATTCAGGATACCCTAATCCAAAATATGAAGTCAAGGACTGTGTCCTGGATGGTGTCAGTCTCACAGTAAGTACTTTCAGATTGAGTCTCCTGTCATGTGAAATCTCTGTCTCCCTTTTGCATAATCTTGCTTTTCAGCAGTCCCTAGCCCTGTTGGTCTGAATGTCTGAAGACGGACAGAAGAAAATACGGTTGAAAGAGGTCCGTCAGCAGACTGCAAAATATGGGGCATGCATTGTGCAAAGTCGAAAAAGGAAATCAAGAAGGGATGTGGGTAGTCCATTCCTACAGTAGTCTTTCTTAAATAAAAAAAAATTCCATTCTCAGTAGGTTTAACTCTCAAAGTGTCCCCTTTTTTGAACAGGCATTTCCCCCCCTCAATGAATATCCCAGAAACACACCTCTTTATTTGAATTTTATTTGATTTGAGATACAAGTATCCTATATTAAGTTAGATATGGATTTTGAACCTGAAACCCAAACACATAATTATTATACTTTGGCCTAATAGGTCTGGCAGAGAGTGAGAGGAGGATGGGAGATGGATCACCAGTGGATTCGACTTCTAGCAGAAATGCCAACATCTCTGGGCAGCATTTTCTTACCTCCTTTCCCCCAAACTTGATAGTCACCACCTGTTGATGATGACAATCCTGACTTAGTTAATCCTCTCTATATACTGGATCAGAGGTTAAAACCATCAACTCTGGCCCTTTATGGAGAAAGATTTCCTTTGTGATTCCTCTCTATAAGAGCTGTAGAGACAAAGACACTGTCTCTCATTATCTGGGATCTACCTGTCTCATGAATTACAGAGAATGGGCACCAACTGTCTGGAATCACACCCTTACGTGCAGCTATCCATGTGATCCAGAGGCTGTCCAAACTCCCCTTGATCCAGGAGCTTGAGGAAACAGAAGAGCACAGAAACCCACCTGGTTAGATACCAACATGAAGAGCCCAGGAGATAGTATAACTGTCGTGCAGGGCAGACGTTAAGCAAAACAATGGGGGTATGAGATTCATCCTCCCCACTGGGATAGTGGGGGCTGTATTTAATGAAAACTAATCTCAATACATCAAACTGCCTCCCACTCTCACATAACAGGAGTCAAAGAGAACTACCTGCAACATCAGAGGAGTTGCACCTTTGCTGACTAAGCAGTATTAAAAGTTCACTTTCTTTATTAACACAAAGATAACCTGGGAAAGAGCAACAAATTAAAAAATATTAGTGATACATACCCCCGGTTGGAAGAAGGAAGGAAGAAAGGATGAAAGGAAGAAAGAAATCAAGAAAGAAAAATATCATAGGTCCCAGAAGCTAAAAAAAATCCTAAAGACGGGTCACCAAGCAAGAGCTGAGACCAGAAAACCATGGAGGCCTGGATCATGGAGTTTTAATGCCCAAGGCAGGATTTGAGGCTCCACAGAAAGCAGGGAATGCACACAGAGGGCCCTGCAAGAATGTTAGATGCTGAAATGGAATATTTATGAAAATAAGACAAGGAAAACTCTGCCCAACATACCAAGTAGCTTCAAGAAAATCTGCCATAAAGGTTTCTGGGATGAAATCACCTCACCAAGTCTTGTGCACATATGGCATCCAAATAAAAAATATATATATAAAAGAGAAGAACCTCAAATAAAAGGATTAACTTAAAAACTTCCTAGATCTGTGAAACTCCTAAGATTCTATCAGAATCAAAACTAAAATTAGCCCTAACCGGTTTGGCTCAGTGGATAGAACATTGGCCTGCAGGTTCAATTCCAGTCAAGGGCATGTATCTTGGTTGCAGGCATATCCCCAGTAGGAGGTGTGCAGGAGGCAGCTGATGAATGTTTCTCTCTCATCAATGTTTCTAACTCTCTATCCCTCTCCCTCCCTCTCTGTAAAAAATCAATAAAATATATTAAAAAAGAAAAACAACAACCTAAAATTACTATCTAGGGCAAGCATGTCAAACTCGAGGCCTGTAGGCTGCATGTCTCATTTATTTGGCCCATGTTAGCCTTTGAGTTTGACATGCTTGATCTAGGGAGATGTCCATAAACCTAACTTATAAGTTTCCTACATATCAAAGAATGCCCATCCCCCAATAACACTCACACACTGAAATTATATAGTTTCCCAAGAATTAGAAATTATATGATAATAGATTAGAAATGAAAATTATAATATTTGGTGTTAAGAGCTTAGCATATCAGTTAAATAGCAGAGTCAACCTGTCCAAAAAAATAAGCAGCAAAATGAAATGCAGGTCTGATTACATCATATGGAACACAACAAGGTAAGATAAAAATTTGGAAAATATGAATGAGAAATTAAAAGACATGGAGGATACAGCGGAGAAAAGGTTCAACACACATCTAATCTGAGCTTTAGTGGGACAGCATGGGAGAGAAAAAATATGCCAAGAGACATCACTGAAAATTTGTCAGAATTTAAGAGACATCACTGAAAATTTGTCAGGCTGAAGGAATGCACTGAGACAGATGCTGCATAAATAAAAACAGATCTACACCTGAAACACCATTATAATAAAACTCAGCAAAGAAAAAAAGGAACTAATAAAAGCCACCACGAATAAATGGATTACTCTTATTTCAGAATGTGGACACCAAGGATCTGAGATGAAAGTTTTTATTTTATTTTAATTTATTTATTTTCTTTATTGTTGACACTATTACAGATGTTCCCATTTTCTCTGCCTTTGCCCACCTCCATCCAGCCCCCACCTCTCTTCCTTCTGGCCATCACCACACAGTTGTCTGTGTCTATGGGTTATGCATATATGTTCTTTGACTAACCCCTTCACCTTCTTTCATCCAGTCTCCCAACCCCTCTCCCCACTGACAACTGTCAGTCTCTATTTTGTTTGTCAGTTTATTTTATTCATTAGATTCCACAGATAAGTGAGATCACATGGTATTTGTCTTCCTCTGACTGGCTTATTTCACTTAGCATAATATTTTGTGAGATGAAACTGTTGCTGCTTATTCCCCTTTTTCTGTTAAGAGATCCAAAAGAGAAAGCAGAAGAGAGAATTAAACGATTTTCTCTGTCTCTTGTGCTCTCCACTACTAGAGCCTTCATTCCTCAGTTTCCTCTCAGTCAGGCACAAGGGCTGGCTTATGGCACCAACCATCCCTGTTCTGATTTGCAGGGTGTGCTGGTGGTGATGCTTATCTTCTCTGTGCTGGAACACTTACTAGCTGCATATGCTTCTGTCTTTTGGTGGAAACAGATCTACTCCAGCAACCCTGGGGTGAGTACTCTGACATGTCACATGATGCCTGCTGGGTCCAAAGATTTGAGTTATGATGATCAGGTCACTGAGTATATGTAGAAGGCAACTTTTATAGTGAGAAAAGAGTTCAATGAAAGGGCTCCTTCATGATGACACGCTGGTCATCAAAGACCAGCTGATGCCTAGTGCGTAGCAAACCAGTTAGAGAATTATTTAAGGTGAAGCTAGAATCAACTGACCCAGTTTCTTATTACAGAACCAAGGCTTGGATAAGTCACACAGAGAATGAATGATATGGACTAATGAGCTGAGACTGAGAACTTGCATCTCCTCACTCTTGTCACGGACAGCCACCTACCTCCCTAGCCCAGTTCCCTTGTGAATGTGATGAGATTTACTAGGACATCTCTGTTCCACTTATGCTTTCCTGTGTTCTTCCTTACTTCTTCTTAGGTCTTGACATTATAATTTTAAATTTAAATGGGACCCAAATCTTTTTTTAAAATATATTTTTATTGATTTCAGAGTGGAAGGAAGAGGGAGAGAGAGAGAAACATCAATGATGAGAGAGAATCATTGATCAGTTGCCTCCTGCACGCCCCCTACTGGGGATCAAGCCCACAACCCAGGCATATGTCCTTGACCAGAATCGAACCTGCGACTCTTCAGTCCGCAGGTTGATGCTCTATCCACTGAGCCAAGTCTGCTAGGGCTGGGACCCAAATCTTTGAAAGCTGTAGTAGAAACAAGAGAGAAATATTTAAGAGGATTGAACAAATTATGATTCAATTATGATCTTATCAGAAAATGACAACATAATTAGCAGATTGAAGAATGGCATTTGTTTGAACTAATATTGTTGCAATTATATATTATAGGAAAGTTGGGAGAGCTAGGACTTTACAACATTTGGGGGGAATGCATTATAAATATGTATTTAAAAAGTCTCCAAAATCGGAGTTTTAAAACTATTAACAATTTTGATCTTTCCTAGAGTTCATTTTCCTTGCCTCAGTCACAAGATCATATCAAACATGTCAAAGACTTCTTCAAGGGTATGGCTATGAGTAACTGTTGGCTGTAGAGGAAAAAGGAAGGAGAAATCCAGTGCTCATGACAAAGTGTGATTAGGCTTTCCTGAAATTTCAGCTACTCTAGACTCTGGAAGAAACTTTTTAAAAAATAGCTTTTGTTTTGTATTTTGTCCGTATGAGTAATTTTATTGCTCTTATAAATAATTTCCCAGAGCCCAGGTCAGTAAAATTTTATTAGCCTGTCTTCCAAAATGGCCATAAAATGTATTAACTTTTAAAAAAATTATCTTTATTGATTTCAGAGAGGAAGGGAGAGGGAGAGAGAGATAGAAACATCAATGATGGGAGAGAATAATTGATTGGCTGCCTCCTGCACATCCCTTACTGGGGATCAAGACTGCATCCCAGGCATGTGCCTTTGACTGGGGGCCCTTCAGTCCGCAGACTGATGCTCTATCCACTGAGCCAGCTAGGGCTGTATAAACTTTTTTTGGTAAACTAAACAGAAAGTGATTGTCTATCCATAAATAGCAAAAGAAAATTTGCTGTTTTGTGCTTGTGTGAATTGGCTAAGTCATGTGTCTGCAGGCTCTATTTTCACATGCATATTGCTTAACTAATAGATATTAGGATTGTGAGAACATTTTAATAAAAAATACTTAAAAATATATGGCTCCATTTCTGTCAATTGAATGGATTAAATTCCTCTCCATTAAATATAGCTCAATGTTCTGTCTCATTTAATGACTTTATTCTTAAATATCTGGACTCAAAGATTATAACTTATTACAGTCACAATGCTTTCTCCCACCTAAGTTCTGGACTGAATAATAAATTAGACATATAGAAATAATATCAACTTTATTATTGTATTGGAGTAAACAACATGGAAGACCAAATAAAGAGATTCCTAATATTGCTCCTGGGTCTAGGTGTTGGGTCCTGTCTCAGAGGGAAATATGCAGCAGATGTGCACATGTATATTTTCCAAATGACATGTACAAAAATGGCCATAGAAGTCATACACATAATAGCCCCCAAAGGCAAACATCCAATTAAACAGAAGAAACAAATGAAAACTGTGGTATATTTAGGCAATGGTGTAGTAGATAGTACTGTGAGTGAACAAAGTACAATGCAGCCATATTGATAAATCCACAAAATAATGTTCAGGGGAACAAAAGCTACATATGAGAATACATACTGTATAATTCCATTTTTATAAAATAAAGTTTGAACACAAGCAAAACTAAAATGAGTGTTAGAATCAGGAGCATGGTCACCTTTGGGGGCAATAATTGGAAGGGGACCCAGAAGGCCTACCGTTCCTAGAAATGTTCTTTTTTCCTTTATCTGGCTGCTCGTGCTGTGCATATATGATGTGTTCTCTTGTTTCTCTATTGTAATTGAATAAAAACATTTTTAAACAGTTACTTTTGACCTCTTGTGCTTGTCTAGTTATTGAGCCATCCCTCACTTCTCCATAGTCAAATTCCTTTAAAACATCATCTCCCCAAAGCCTGGAGTCATCCTTGACTCTTCTATTTGCCTCACACACCATATGTAATCTACAATTAAACCCTGCTAGATCTAACTTCAAATATATCGAGTCTGATTACTTCTCACCATCTCATGAGTACTCTGGTTTATCATTTCCTATTGGCTTTATTGCAATGAGCAACCAACTGGTCACCCACACCACTCAGCCTTTTCTCCACACAGCAGACAAGGAGAGTTTTAAAAATCTAAAATCATATCATGTCATTTCTTTTCTCAAGCCCATTCCATTTCCTTCTGAATAAAAGTCAGAGTCCTTAAAGTTCTTATAAGTCTAAACTCTCTTTCCTCTCTAATCCATTCTCTGACTTCTCTCCCACTTGTTCCCTCTACTCCTGTCACATTGGCCTTGACATATTATTTTTCCAGAGACTTTACACTTGCAAGCCCCTCTATCTGGAATGCTTTTCTTGCAATTATTTTAATTGCTTGTTTTCTCACTTCTTTCAAGTTGTCAAATCTCTCAACCTCAATGTACCTTTCTCCCACCAAATTACATAATATTGTAATCCTCTTTCCCTTTCATTTGCTAATTTTTCTCCATAGTACTTACAGCTCCCATTTGAGTGTTTTTAAGTGTGTGTGTGTATGTGTGAATATTTTAAACTGGGGTGCAGAACCTTTGAGATTCCTCTTTATCCCATAAGTCAAGCTATACAATGCAATTATATTTTATCCAGAATCTATTTTTTATTTTTTTGTTTTTGTTGGTTCTTTTTCGGTTAATAGAAAATTTCTTCAGACTAACTGGAGAATTATATTCAGAATTGTCTGGGGTAATATTCCAAACTGATGGAAGGTGCAATAAGGTTGCATCTTTTGTTTTTAACTCTCTTCCACTCCTCCCACCACCCCAGCCTGGTGGTCTTTTACAAATGAAATGACTACCCACTCAGTTCCTAAAGTCAGAAATTTGGGAGTCATTTTGACTCCTTCCTTTGCCTCACTACCACACTCCCTTTGCGGAAACAGTTAGGCAAGAACCACACATGAAGGTCTAATAAACTCATGGGAAGAAGAGTGAATGGTTTCAACCAAGTCTAGGCAGACATTGCAAATCTTTAACATACTATACATTAGAACTTTGAGTTTTCACTCTTAATCTTTAAAAAATGCAGCTTCCCCAAAATGGTAACCCAAAATTAGTTACTAAGCCGCACATACTCAGATTTTTACCACAAACTCTCCAACCCTTCCTCCAATCTTACCTAACTTGGTGAAAGATTCTCCTTGTTGGTCTGATGAAGTAAGTAAACAGCCATGTGAGGCAGCAAGGAACTGAGGGCACCCTCTAGGATCTGACAGCAGCCTCTAATCTCCAGCCAGCAAAACCTAGAGTCCTTATTCATGCAACCGTAAGGAAATAAATTCTGTCAGCTACCTGAATGTGTTTAAGAATGGGTTTTCCCCAGTCGAGCCTCCAGATGAAAACACAGCCTGGCTGGCACCTTGATTGCAGCCATGTGAGGCCCTGAGCAGAGGCACCCAACTAAGCCATGCCTCACCTCCTGATCCACCAAAGCTGCAAGATAATAAATGTGTGCTGTTTTAAGCCACCTAGATTTGTGGTAGTTACATGACAATAGAAAACAAATACACACTGGATTGGTGCATGGAAAATGGAACAGGAAAAGCCAACTTCAAATTTCAGCCCCACCACTTACCAGCAGTAACTACGGTACTCAGTTATGTCTTCAAAATGGGTATGATAATAAAACCTGGCTTCCCAGGTTGTTGGCAAGGTGACATGGCAACTCAGGCAGAGGAAAGATTTAATAAGGGAGTAAATATCTCATTTTATTTAGGTCAGTGTTGGCACATATTAGGGGCTAAGTGTTACTTGTCAAACTCAAGGAAGAGAGGTCTTTTGCAGGTTGAAAGCAAGAGGAAATACATTTTCCACTTAAAGAATATCACCCTCTTATAGATCCCTTAAAGCAGGGGTCCTCAAACTTTTTAAACAGGGGGCCAGTTCACTGTCCCTCAGACTGTTGGAGGGCCGGACTATAGTTTAAAAAAAAACTATGAACAAATTCCTGTGCACACTGCACATATCTTATTTTGAAGTAAAAAACCAAAACGGGAACAAATACAATATTTGTATTTGCATGTGGCCCGCGGGCTGTAGTTTGAGGACCCCTGCCTTAAAGGGTTCTGTCATTTAATTTCCCCATACAATAGCCTAGTTCCTGCCCACTGTTCTTAGTCCATAGGCTGAAATATTAGAAACTCATTTTAAAGAAGTTTGAAAGAAGCAGGAGGAAAAGGCAGAGGCTGACAACCAAAATGATAAAATGAGATGCATTAAGAAATAACCAAGGCATTTCAAATTATAAACTTGTCCTGCTTAATATCAGTAAGTTATTCCTAAAAATCAAGAATTCTGCATGAAGACAATTCTTTTTCATAATTTTAAAGGGAAAAAATATATGCTATTATTCAACCCAAACTCTCATCCACTTCCCTAAAATGTAAGTAAAAGTCAGTAAACTATCCACATATAAGAAGTAAATTAACGGGTTATAAATTACTTGCTCACCAAAATAATCACAACGCTGGTAACAGCTGCTGTGTGTGAAGTGTGTGGCTGCAGTTAGAGTCAGCACCATCTGGGGCACACTTCCTTTTATTGCACAGCAGGCTTTTCAAAACTCCACATGATTTTGATGGTCTGTCAGTTCTGCTTAGAATTTAAATACAGACTTGTCTCACACTTCTTGTTTAAAATGTTGTGTTGCACTGTAGGCACATAAATTAAAATTTACCTGAATAAACATTGGCAGAAAAATGTTGGGTTGAAAAATACATACCTTCTCTGATGTTTGGGTGTAAAAAACCAATGAGGCAGTCTATATATATATATATAAAATCAGGAGGTCACATTCTGCAATTATTTCTATACATCAGTGGTTTTCAACCTGGAATGATTTTGTTCCCCCAGGAAGCAAATTTGGCCATGTCTGGAGACATCTTACAATGCATCTTACTCCCCATAATAAAGAATTATCAGGACCTACATGCCCACAGTGCCAAGGTTGAGAAAACTGCTATGTGTGGTTGCCACAAACTAGGAAATACTCAATATAATATTTGTACATAGTTTTTTTTGAAATTGTTTGCCTTCATAATTTAATAATTAAAATAATAGCAAATATAGGAATATAAAGGATTAATGTGGAAAGAAATATTCCAAAAAGACACTTTATATTACTTTCTACTATTTTAATTGTATTTGTATCATTTGAACCAGGAAGACCTCGAGTAGAATTAGTTTTCCTGGTCTTTGTGAAAGCTAAAATATGCTCTATTAAAGTGGCAACTGCAACTGGGCCTTCTTAATGACTGATTTTTATACTACAAAGGAATATGGTTAAACAATACAGGAGACAGTTCATTAACTACAAGTGGGAACCTGCTTCTGAAAGGGGGTGGAAACATGGTTGAATAGAAATGGCACAGATTTTGGAGACAGAAACAAAGTTTGATTCCTTCCTCTGTTCCATGGTATGTGATCTCAGGCAACTTAGCCTTTCTGTACCTCAGCTTCAGCACTGCAGAATTGTTAAAATATTTTCAATACATGTTAAAAACAAGCACCTTGTACAGCACTTAGAGCATAGTAAATATTCTATACATTTTAGTTCCTTTATATTTCATGAACATAGATACTGGAATTTGTTTTTACATTTACTGTCTGTTTCTAAATAAATTGATGAGAAAGTAAGTCTTGTGGATAACTGGATTCTTCACCAGGAAGGTAGGGGGCTGGATATGCTCTGGAATTCTAAGACACTATGACTTAATGACTATGATTCTGTGGTTCTAGTACTGAGTGGAGGAATCACTATGGGCTCATTGCTAGGGACTCCATGTAAGACTGAGGGAAGACCATGATGGTGGTTACAATGTTCACTCATTCCATCTTTTTATAGAGTTTGCCATTGAATCATGGATCCATCACTCAAGGTCAAAAGATCGGCCCATACCATCACTGTCCAACCGAAAGAAACTATACTGACTGCGTTTCCCTTTTGGCCTCATAGCTCTCTGCTGGATTTCCTCAAAGGAGAGCCAAGAGTCTTGGGGGTAAGTCCTCTCCCATCCATGGGTCTCCCTGGAAGGGAACAAAGAGGTTATTTCTCCATGTATATTTCCAGAAGGGAGGGAGTGGGCTCTCTCCTCGCCCCCTTCAGCCACAATGTATCCTTCCTGATTAATCATAAATACTTGTAAGTCATTTGCTTGTACAAATAATTAGATCATCAGTAGAAGAGCCAATAATACGATTTCCCTAGATATTTTTGTAAACAAGATAAATAGAAATTCTGTTCAGAAACATGCACAGTGTGCTTCATGTCTTAGTAATGTTTCTGAGGGCTTATTTAACTCTGAGAAATAGAATATTTACCTATAATTACAAACTCCCCGACCCTGAGGAAATCCTCACACTGTTTCATGAAGAGTTAGTACTGTCTTTGAATCATAGCAGAGGGAATGTAAGAAATCGGTGTAATTTTTCCAAATATTTTATTGAGGAGGCGACATCAGGGTGTGGTGGCACCTTTGAGCTTGGAGCAAAAGCCATTGGAAGAGAGCTGAAACTTCCACTTCATGCTGTTAAAGGCATTGGGAGTTCTTTAAAAATCACAATGCTCCAAAGTCATCCACAAAGTGGACATACACATACAAACAATTTCAGTCATACATGCACATTGAAGGGACAAGAGTAAATTCACTACTTGTGGCAGGCACAGTGACACAGAGGTGTGGCCTGGGAACAAAGCCTGGAATGCTGAAGGAGCAGCTCTGCCCTGAGAAGAGCCACTGACCCTGCACGACCACCATGGAGTTCCCCTCCCTGCAGACTGATAAGTCCACTAGGTTACTCTCCACTCTTGTCAGGCCGCTGCATATAGAGATGAGACACAACCTCACCCTAGTCTCTCTGCTCTGCATCAGCAAACTTCATAAAGTATTAGAGAAGTGGGCTGAGCTACAATCCCAAAAGCATACAGTGAACGTGGGAAATGTGTGTGTGTTGGGGTGTGGGGATAATAACAGGATGCAGATGCTACAGAAGGGAAAAAATGTAAGGGTGAATAGTTTGTAGTCTCTGTCCTCAGGAAGAGGACATATACTCAAATTCGTCTGATACAAGATAAATTGGTAACACCAGGAGATATAGCAAGTAGTGTTGCACAAGAGTAAGCCACCTGAACTTGAAGGACCCAGGCAAATGTGACGAGGAAAGAGACAATGGGCCCCTGAAAATCTGAGCGTGGTTGGTCAATGGAAAGAGGAATGCATTAAGGAGCTTAGAGGGAAGCCCAAGGGACCTGGGAGAGCAGGGCACTTGTGACTTCGTGTACCCAATTCTCTCTTCACAGGCTATCCAGATCCTGCTTGCCTTGATCATTATGGGCATTGGAACTATATTTGCAGTTAATTACTTCCTTTTCTCCCAAAGATTTCCACTTGTTTTCTGCACAGGATATACATTCTGGGGAGCACTTATTGTGAGTACTGTCAGGAGCTTTAGAAAAATTACTATAAAGACTGTCTTGAATCCTAGAATAATGAATCCCGTGAACATGGTCCCCAAGGAGACCAGGCCCTTCCACAGTAAAAGTGACTCTATTTGGACACTACTCTATCATCATCATCATAGCAATAACTACTCTCAGGTGTTCAGTATTTAAAGGTTTCCATGCCCCTTGTGTATATAGTAAGGCATTAGCTCTTTTCTACCAATCTAGGGGATTAGATGGGTAAATATCCCATTTTCCCCTTTGCAAATAAGGAAATTGAGTTTGAGAGAAGTTAATAATTTAAACATATCTAGCTAGCACTCATAGAATCACAGACTTTCATAGCTTAACAAGAAGTTTAAGATAATTATTATGGTTCAATCCCCTTGTTATCCCAAAAGACAATTTTATGAGCGTCACTCATCTCGTTAATTATAGAGCCATAAATAAAATTCTTAGTATAGTGCTATTTCCATCTAATCCTCACAGCCGTGGCTCCCGTTGTTGTGCCACAATATCTAAGGGTAGACTCATTAGAGTTTCCCCCAATAGAACATACACTCCCAAGAGGGTAAGGATATTGTCTCAATTGCCATTACATTCTCAGGACCTAAACTCATGCTTAATGCACAGTAGATGAATGAATGAATCATCCAATAAACAAATGGATGAAATGAAAAATAGTAGTCTCATTTGTTAAAATCCCTGCTCTCTTTATGTTTATTTTTTAAACATCTTTTTATTGATTTCAGAGAGGAAGGGAGCAGGAGAGAGAGATATAAACATTATTGATGAGAGAGAATCATTGATTGGCTGCCTCCTCCTGCATGTCCCCTACTGGGGAAGCAAGCCTGCAACCCAGGCATGTGCCCTGACCGGGAATCAAACAGTGACCTCCTGGTTCATAGGTCTATGCTCAACCACTGAACCACGCCAGCTGGGCATTCACTGTTCTCTTTAGATGAACATAAATATTTCATGCCTTTTAAATAATTTGCATTTCAAAGACAATTAGTAGAGTTTTCATTTCTAAATATAAATAACACTGAATATGATTTTCAAACTAAACATGTCGCACTGTAGAAAAATCAAACCGAACAACTCCTCACTTGCCCATTTCACAACAGGAATTTTCCCAGTGTGACTTTGTGTGATCTGCAGGCATGAATTTTAAATCCTGGCAGACTGCTTGTTAAAAACTCCACTCTTCATTGAAAAGATATTTACTGAGCACAAAGTATATCTTCAGTAGTGTGCAAGGTGCTGAGAGTTCTGATAAATAAACCCTCTCTGAGAGAACTGGTGAATTGCTCTTAGAATTAGGTGCCTTATCATGTAATACGGAGGGTTTTTTAAAAAATTTAAATTCTTTATTGTTGAAAGTATTAAATATGTCTCCTTTTTTCCCCATTGACCTTTCCCCAACCGCTTCCACCCCCCAGCACATGCCCTCACCCTCTCTACTGTCTGTGTCCATTGGTTACACTTATATGCATGCATACAAGTCCTTTGGATGAACTCTTACCCCTCTCCCCCTCCCCTGCCTTCCCTCTGAGGTGGGACAGTCTGTTCAATGAGTAATAGGGAATTTTAAACAGCAATCTGGCCCTCATCATAGAGTACTTGGCCTTGCAGGACCTGATATTGCTTTGTCAATAGCCTCTTTCATGAAGACAAGAGGGTTTTAGTCTTAGACACCCAGGTGGATATCCCCACAATCAGACAGCCATTTCAAGAGAGTGTTTGAATCTTTTAAATGATATGACTCAGAAACTGCTTCTCTGCCAAGAAGCTGCTATTACAAATGGAAGAGTAATGCCTTCCTCATACTCAATGGAACCTAAGAAATTGAATTCTCGAGAAGAAACTACTTTTCAGACCCCCAAATCTAGTCATATGCCTCGACCTTCATTGCTACCATTAGTAAAGACATCACTGATTTTCTCAAAATTACCTACACCGATGTTGCAAGTCCCCTTCAGTCCCCATTTGGCTCTAGTGTAATGAGTTGGATGGCTGGAAATTTTTATGTAAACGCCTGCTATGGGTCACCTCAACGTTCTCAGCTAATAAGAAAAGGGCTAAGATTATGGACTTCAGCTTCTGATCAGCAAATGAATGAATTTTCTAGACAGCCCAGTGTGATTTATTATAGATTTAGAATAAATGTGAACAAATTAAGAATTTCTTGTCAAAATGGATGCTGATAATGTATTTTTTCAGTAAGCATCCAGAGGCCTCCATTCAGGCTGGGTTTTCCCCCCAGATATTTGGGTGGGCATTAGAAAGTCTGTCTCAGTGGCAGCAGCATTTACAGAAGATAGATTTGGTATTGTCCAGTTTACACTACCAGTAATTATTATTGATGCTGCAAGGGGTAGTTGACAAGTACTCCAAGCTTCTTCATGATTCCTAAATTCCACCTTGGATTTCAGGAACCCTGTGGATGCTTCTTTTAAAACATTAAGATTTGTATTTACAGCATCACTAAAAACTGTCTTCTATTGAATAACTACTACATTTGTCAAATCTGAATGTTGTTCAAGCATCTGCAGAAGATCAGCAGAGACTTCAACAGTTCTTGGAGTTCAGAGAATAGTTAGTATACACTGTGTTCATTACACTGCTGATACAACTATAGATAGGACAGTAAGTATTCGGCATTCTTGCAACAGAAGAAAATAGACTAATTCGATGCTTCCTTTGTCATGGTGGTTGCTTTGAAAACTGTACTTTAATGGGAAGGAACTCTTACCATTTGCAACGGCATGGATGGAACTGGAGAGCATTATGCTAAGTGAAATAAGCCAGTCAATGAAGGAAAAATACCACATGATCTCACTCATTCATGGATAATAGAGACCATTATAAACTCTTGAACAATAATAGATACAGAGGCAGAGCTGCCTCAAACTGATTGTCAAACTGCAGTGGGAAGGCCAGAGAGGTGGGGGAGGGGGGATTGTCAAGGGCGGGGAAAAAAAAGGACACATATGTAATACCCTTTGTAATACTTTAAGCAATAAAAAAATTAAAAAAAAGAAAACTGTACTTTAATGGGAGAAATCATGGAAAGAAATTATCAACAGAATTACCCAAAATGGCCTTTTCTGTACCAGTTGCTTATTGTGTGCACGTTACAATAAAATCTTTCTTCAATCCCCCCCCCCACCCCAGCAAATGGCTGAGATCATTATACTAGATTCTGGCCCCCATATCAGCCTTTGCTTAGAGAGTTCCAGCCTGAGAAAGTCTCCTTCCATCTGCTCAGAGCAGACACAGTTCACCTTTCCCCTTTTCAGACCGAGAACCCAGAATTATCTTTTGTTTTGGAGCCCAGCTGGGCCAAACACCTGAGAGGAATACCTTAGAACTTAAAGAGGGGCCTGCTTCTCCCAGCTGATCCTAGCAAAGAGTCTTTGGGTAGTGCTGAGCATCTCTTACATCTTCTCTTCTGATGCCCAGGTGGAAAGACTGGGAGGTTTGGGAGAATCACAGACAAATAGATTAAAATATAATCTCCAGAGTAAACTATGTTGTAAGGTGGTGAAATTTATCACCTGTTAACTTTGGTCTCCTTTCTTTTTAAAAGTTTATTATTACAGGATATTTCACAGGACTCAACTGGGATAAAAAACACAAGGTAAGTAATTTTTTGTGACTTCTTTATAATTTAAAATTATCTACTTGCTTTATCTCATCTTTGTGTATAAAGCCTTTAGGAATCTAGGGTCTCTCAGGAAAATCTTTATACATCAAATTTGCAGTTCAAGTAATTCCTGTTTGTCTACATCCTTCTACTGGTTCCTCATTCTCTGGTCAACTAAACTGAAAGAGTTGCTTATTAGAAACCGTTCTATGTTCCTCTGACTCAATGATTTTCAACTGGTGTGGCACAAAAAAAGTTTAAAACATGCAATACCTGACTAGTTAGTCATGGGCACTGACCTCTTTCCCCTTAGATTGTCAAATAAAAAAAACGACAGTAGCCAACACAACAATATCCATCTAATAGATGAATCAAAATTATACCTATTATTTTGTCAGATTGGCAAAAATATATTTTTTGGTGTACTATAAAAGTTTAGTAATTAGTTTCTTTGTGCGATGACATGAAAAATGGTTCTTAATTGGGAACAATTTGTGGCCCCTCTCCCACCTTCACCTTCCCAGGGGCCCAAGTCAGTGTCTGACATATAGCTGGTACACGCTAAGTATTTATTAAAATAGGTCAATAAATGCATACTAAAATTAGATGTCATCACTCTCATTTTTAAAGATACAAATTGAGATTCCAAGAGATTAATTCCCTTGTATGAGGTCCTAGTTGACTAGACTGAGAATCAGGTCCACTTATAATGCCAAGATAATTTCTACACACTATTTTGCTTATCTATTGTGAAAGGTGTTGCATCTGAATAAAATAAACATTTCCTTAAGTATTAACCATAGTGCATCCTTACTCCACCCGTTCTCTTTCTTGGCTTCCTGGCTTATATTAAAGCAGATTGTCTTCTGTCTTTGATGAATCAGGATTTAAGTTAATCAAGCCTTTTGAGCAGACTGACCTGATGGAGCAGTTCATCCTGGAGGGGTATCTAGAAAGATAAATGCATTAAGAATTTCTTACAAGGTATTTTTGGTTTGGTTTGATTTTTAAATTATTGTCTTATTTTAAAAAACTTTTCCAGGGGCATAGCGTCATGGCCATGAATGTGATCAGTACTTTGACTGCAGTGGCTGGGATCACTCTCACCATTATCAGCTTTCAATATCAGCACCAGTACTGCAAGATGCCTTCCCTCGAAGGAATATGTGTTATAGGTAGAGTCCTTTACAATGTAAGTGGTTTCATTCTCTACAATGAATCTGTATAATCTTATCTGAGCTATAGTCATGCATCAATTCACTAATTTTTATTTCAATAATTGATGATGTATCTACATTTGAACTGAATGCTGAGAACCATATTGTGATTTAACAGCCACAGTGTTTGGATTTGAAATCCTGGTTTTGTCACTTATAAGCTTGTGACCTTGGCCTAACATTTTATCTTCTCTGAGCTTCAGTTTTCCTCATGTGGAAAATGAAGACCATAAGAATGTCTACCTCATCGGGTTGTTGAGAGGATTACTTAAATTATAATACTAGCTGGTACAGTGTAGTCAATAGGTTCTAGCTATTACCATTAAGGTTGACATGGATTGGATTAAAATTTATCTTTTCAGCATTAATAAGGAACAGAATGATCTAAAATGTTTAGTCAGTACTAAAACCAAAACACAGTGGAGAAGGTGCTTCAGTCATTTAGTAAAGCATGTTAATAATTTTAGAAATAATTTTATATAAATGTAGCAATGTTATTCATTAAAGCAGATGAGAGGTATCTTTACTAGGAAATATAACTGTAGGTATACTTTTACATATTTATCTAAAAAGCATCCAATGGGATTATTTATTTATTTTTATTAGTTAAGGTATTACAAATGTGTCCTCATCCCCTCATTAACCCCCA